TGCGCTAGTCATTTACAAGCTCGGTGGTCGAACTCGAGAATGTGCACTAACGTGCGGCACTTCGGTCGACGCTGCGTTTCCCCCCCGGGCGGAGCTGAAATTGCAGCTCTCACGAGTGTTCTCGCCGCCTAATCAGGCATATCGCGTGCGATCGCGTTTCCTTGCCGCCCGACAGGGCAACACGGAATTGGTGGACTTTGTCCAAGAGTTGCGAACTCTCATTGCCGGGATGGCAGCAGATTTCCTCTCGATGCGGTCACAGTGACCGTCTTTATGGAAGGCCTCCGCACTGGCGTGATCAGAATGGAAGTCTTCCGTGTGTATCCGTCCTCATGAGAAGAGGCGGTGAATAAGGTATTGAATGCCGAGTTCAATTTCAGGTCGGCACGACTTAGTTGAGATCCATACTCCAACAGCTCGTCGAGCGGGCCTGTACCCATGGATCTCAGCTATGCTGAGGACGAGGCGCAGAGCTCCGAGCTGCCAGGCAGCAAACACAGATTCAACGGTGTTTTGCCTGAGGAGAAACCCGTCACCATCGGAACGGTTGCCCCCTGCGAAAGGCGCGTCACGGTTCTTCAAACCATCACCCCAACGCCTACCAGTCTGGTTCGTCGCGGGAAACGACACCACTCGGTAGGCGCGAAGCAACCTACTGGGAAAAAACTGAGTTCTGTTGAGCCTCGAAGAGCTCTGTGCTCTTAAATACGGAACGTGTATGCAAGCCGGGCTTGCTGGCTATAGGGGCGACCGTAAAGGGCTTCGAGAAGCCATGGAAGATCCCCATCAAATCCGGGGCGTCGGGCAATTATGCTCGACGCTCCACGATGGAAGGGAGTCAGCTGTATGCTGAGGCGCTGAAAGCGCGGCTGGGCGACATCGTCACTGTTCGCTTAGCGACGGGGACACGTGTCACGGTCCCGAAGACCCCTGTGGACCTCGGAGTCAAGTTCCTTGACTTTGATAGTGTAGAACGCTGTCTAGTCTTAGACTTGGATGCAAGTGTTGACCTCATCCTAGGAGTGGCATGGCTGGAACACCATGAGCCATGGATTGATTGGAGGTCAAAGACCTTCGGCGCTACGGGCACGTCTCCTGGTGGAGCTCTGGCGAGTCGTGAACCCATCTCTGCTAGGAGACAAAGGCGCTATTGGCGAGAGCACTGGACCAAGACGGTCAACATGCTAGACATTGGAATGTCCGAGTTGGTAGACACCAACGGTATATTGGACAGGAGTCCCGAGCGTGGCTCGCGGGCTGATCGTGG